GTGCTCGAGGCAGCCAAGACCAATAGATTGCCATTATCATCTGAATCCTGTGTGGAGTGTTGCCGCTGCCCCTCATTCATCTCTTACCCCAACGCCCAGCGCTGGCTCTATCAGATTTCCCACAATGCCTTTGTTTGGTCTTTATCCGTGTCTCCCGGTTTCTTTATTCTAGACCCACAGGTATTGCCTCCTTTCCCTGGCAGACCTGGTCATCGCCCAGCCCCCTTGCAAGGGATATATGGTCCTTCCGAGACTCATGTAAGCTTCACCTCTTCCAGGAAGCCTTTCTGGATTCAGGATGCGTTCAGGGTCACTCCTCTAGCCTTCCGTGGGGCTGTCGGCACGTTTGTTGTTTGTGCTGTTGTATTTTTGTGCTCTGGTCTGGCTCCCCAGATATTGCCTCCACCCCCAGAAGTGAGAGGCTCGGTGGCAGGGTGTGGCTATTTTGAGTGTGTACGGGGGTAAGCCACCACTCATCTATCGGTTTATCACACTGTGGTGGCTTGTGTGGTGTTGTGAGGCTGGAGGCTATGCCACTGGTATTTCAAATACCAGCAAGGTCACCCCCAGTGGACAGGTTTCCCAGACTGACCCAGACTGGGAAAAGGACAGAGCCATCCACTTCTGAAAAAAACTGGCCAGGGAAAACCTTGTGAAAAGTGACACACCGTACTCAGGGCTGCACCGATGGGCTCACGCAGAGCCGGGATTGTGGGGAGGGCGCAGGACCAGGTGGTGTTGCGTTCTGCTGCACACGGGCTTGCTGTGCGTCCCAGCCTACTCGACGGCACCTAACATAACCAGAAGGGGGTGAGCAGAGCTGAAGGAATTTTGCATCCCTGTTTCCCTCAGGCTGCGATAGCGTGGAGAAATGGCCTCAGGTAACCCCTAGAGGGTCAGGAAAAATGAGAGAGACCATCCAGGAGATGGAATGACATGGGGCTGCAAGTGGCTTCCAACATGCCCATGATGTCAGTCATGAAGGTGACATAGGCAGCCTTTCGTTCTATGTAAAGTCCCTGTCTTAGTTTGCTACTCCTGGTGGAAGAGAAATACCACAAGGGGGTGGTTTTCAGAAACAGAATTTTATTTTTTCACCGTTTTGGAGCCTAGAAGTCCAACTTCTGGGCACTGGCTGTAGGGGAAGTCTGTCTTGTCAGCTCTGGGGCAAGTCCTGTTTTCACCTACTGTTCTTTCTCTTGGTCCCTTGTCTCCGTTTTGGCTTGTTTTTGTGCCTAACCTGGTTGGTTCACATCTGAAAATGATTGACTGAAGACACACCCAACACACAGATCCACAGATCCGTTGTTGTCGTTTGGTGCCTTCTGGTCGATTCTGACTCACAGCCGCCCCATAGATCGGGATACAGCTGCCTGTCGGGTTCTCTGGGCTGTAACCTTTCTAGAAGCAAACTGCCACGTCTTTTTCTTGTAGAGCCGCTGGGTGGGTTTGAACCGGTGACTCTGGTTACCAGCTGAGTGTGTAGCCGTTGTGCTTCCAGAGCTCCCAGGTACGGGGCTTACTTAGATTCACAACACATTTTCCAGGGGACCCGGCTCAGTCCATCAGAGTTGCCACGCGTTGGTGCCAACAACACAGTAACTAACTGCAACCTGTCACCTCTGTCTTCTTGGCACGAGCTGTACACACACCCTGTGATGTTGACACGTCTGTCTTACGAAGTCCATGCAGGAGGCTTGGTCGGTCTGGCTTGAGGCAGTGGAGTGCTTGGGGATTTTCTTGGCTTGAGTAACACGGGAAGTTTGTACCATTGTCCTGCAAAATTATCATGCAGGTAGTTCCCAGTGTAAGTGGTGTTTGACTACGCCTCCATAATCCATGCTGACATACATTGAGTCCCTCTTTTTATTTGTTTAAATTGTTGTTACTGTTTTGTTATTGTTTTCGCATTATTTCATTACCAGTATCTTTCTAAATCCGATCTTTCTTTGTCTTTGGGAGTGGAAATATTACCTATAAACTTACAGGTATTTTTTAATACATAGGAGCTCTGGTGGCGTAGTGCCTAAGGCATTTGACTGCTAACCAGAAGGCTGATGGTTCAAACACAGCAACCACTCCTCAGAAGGAAGGTTGGGCAACCTGCTTCCGTAGTGATACTGCCTTGGAAACTCAAAGAGGGATTGGATCCAGCTCAGTGGCAGTGGGTATAGACAGTTACAGAGGCCCTCAACAAGATAGGTTGACACAGTGGCTTCAACGATGGGCTCAGGTATAGCAAGGATTGTGGGGCTGGCACAGGACTGGGCAGTGTTGCGTTCTGCTGTACGTGGGGTCACTGTGAGCCGGAGAGGACTCGATGGTACCTAACAACGACAGACGCTTACAGAAGGGGCCTAGGGGCGGCACCTCCTGACCTCCTCTGACTTCCCGAGAGGGAGACTGAGGGATACAGGTTGGACAGGCCACCACCCTCCAGCCTTTTGACCAATTTTGACACCAGCCGTCCTTCCCGCACACTCACTACTTCTCTGCTGGGGTCAATAATTCATTGCAGGGGCCACACGGAACTCACAGACGATACTCATGATTATGGGGTTCATTAGGGAAGTAACAAACAGGTCACACTTAGGTTCAGGAACAAGGATGCAGTTCTTTGTTCGGGACAGGCTCCCCTCCGCCGTGCCTATAGGCCTGCCTCTCTTTGGTGCCCAGCGTCTCAGCCAGGCCTGTGCCCCCCAGTCAAGTGTTGCAAAGCTCTTCAGCTCTGCCGATGGGTGCCTCTAGACGCGCCCCGCTGTACCAACAAGCTTCCTGCCCAGAGACACTCGGCTTTCTCACTCTGTGAGCTGGCAAGCCCGCCGCTCTGTCTTATGCTGGTCTCTTGGTTCAGCTACCATCATATTTCTGTCATTGTCTCAGTGCCAGGATTTTGGGTCCAAGGACAGTTTCCACTCCTGGCCCTCCCGTCTCGATGGCAGTAAGAGCCCCCTTTCTGCCTTTGGAAGGGCTCGTTTTAACCCAACCAGGCAGCAAAACTGACCAATCCCCACATTTGTTGTTGTTGTTGTTGTTATGTGCCCTCGAGTCGGCCCCGACTCATAGCGACCCCTCCTTGGGTTTCCGAGGCAGTATCACTACGGAAGTAGGATTGCCCAACCTTCCTTCCGAGGAGTGGCTGCTGGGTTTGAACCGCCAGCCGTCTGGTTAGCAGGCAAGTGATTTAGCCAATCCCCACATTAGGGTTCCATATACCTTGCTTGAATGGTCCCACCCCCAGAAGGACACCATGTCCCTTATTTACAGTATTAGCAGGCTGTCCCCTCAGTGGGCCGCAAGCACCTCACATTTGCATGGTTCCACGCAGTCATCTGGCGGGCGCCACGAAGCCGTGGCTAGAAGGGCCAGGCCCAGTCAGTTACTGCCCCACAACGCTATCTTAAATCTCTGGTGTTGCTGTACCAGATACCGCAAGTGGCTGGCTGTAACATAAATTTATACTCTCACAGTTTAGGAGGCTAGAAGTCTGCATCAGGGTGCCAGCTCTCGGGGAGGTCCTTATCCCTTCAGTCTGTGGGCCTGGCATCCCTTGGAATCTCCACAGGTCTTGGCATTGATCCTCTGCTGGATCTAAGAGGTTCTCATCACAGGGTCCCTGGACTCAAAGAATAGGCGTTGCTTCCCAGTTGGCATGGCGGTTGTAGGCTCCCTCCTTCTGTTCACCTCTCTCTCCTTTTATCTCTTAAAAGATTAAAAAGTGATGCAGACCACACCCCAGGGTAACTCCCCTTACTGGGATCAGAGGTGTGACCCCAGTAACGGTATTATTGCATTCCACTCTAATCTGATTACAGCGGATTGGCAGATCACATCAGATCACATCACAGGGAGTGATTACATCATCACGTAACTGCCAACCCACTGAGAATCATAGCCCAGCCAAGGTGCCACATATTTTGAGGGAACAGAGTTTGTCCGTGACACATACATTATAAAAATTTACCCTAACGATGAAGGGTTGGATACTATTGGCATCTTGTCAGTTGTAATAACTCCATTTGTGGAAGGTTCTAGATTACCTGGGTTATCTCCGGGGATGAAGACTGGCCTTCCCATTCAGGCAATTAGTAAGAGTTACCCATGTGAACCTTCTCTTTTTTTTCTTCCTGGGAACATCTCACTGCTTTCCGAACCCACCTATTGACTTGAGCAAAACAGTCAGCGTTTGGGTCTGTGTTTTCACGCAACTGAAAACCCTGATTTGGTCATTTAGAAACTAAATATCAATACAGTGGTGTTTTGAGAAGTAAATGGTGAATTGCCCATCTGTGAGTGAAGATCTGAGGAGGGAGGAGGTCAGCAAATTGCCTGCTGCAACGCTGTGTGGAGTACCCATTTCTAATATGTATTTTTTAAAAAATACGACAGTTATAAGAGTGCTTCATCATAACTTGAATATGCTCCAGATATGGGACTATCTGTAATTAAAATCAAGTGACGTAAGCGAGTGGCGTGATCCAGAATATTGGATGGCACAAACGGTCTGCACCTTGACCAGTGCAAGTTGATGTTTGAACCCCCACAGTCGGGCCACGAAGAGAAGCCCTGGCTATCTGTTTCTGTAAACTTATCGCAGCCGAGAAAACCCTAGGGGCCAGTTCTACTCTGTTAACGCATGGGGTCTGGATGAGTTGGAACTGACCGTCTGGACACGGGTTTCTCAATTCTAATCACAGATAGCGTTTGACCGGTGTAGCCTGCAGTTTGGTTTCATTGCCCAGGGGCAGAGTCACTTTCCAGCTAAAGCCTAGGGGGTGGGCAGGAAGAGGACGCCCCCAGCGTTGACAGTATCCTGGGGTACAGTGTGGATGCCTGCCCGTGATGGTGATGGCTTGATGGCTCTCGTGGGTGTGGCTGGAGTGGGCGTGGCAGGCCTGGGGCTGGAGTGGGCGTGGTAGGCCTGGGGCTGGAGTGGGCGTGGCTGGAGTGGGAGGGGCAGGCCTGGGGCTGACCCGAAGGCCTTCCGGGTACGTTCTCAGCTGGCGTTGCAGACCGGGCGTGAGCCACCTCCAATATGGCGGGTACAGAAGGCACTGCTGCAGAAATTCACCCCGGAGATCAAGGACGGCCAGAGGCAGTTTTGTGCCACTAGTAACGTGAGTCAGCCGACGGGAGTGAGGACCCGGACTGGGCCGGGGG